AACCCCTAGTCAGACACCATCACATCCTCTTATTTATTTCCACAACTTTTGTTCACGATGTGTTTTCTTGTTTAAGAATTGTCGGCCAAGCTCAGTGGCTCAGCCTGTAATCCCAGCACTTTGGGAGGCCGAGGCAAGCAGATTGCCTGAGCCTGCGGGTTTAAGACCAGCCCGGGCAACTTGGTGAGAACTTGTCTCTACAATAAATCAAAAATTAGCTGGACATGGTATAGCATGCACCTGTAGTTCCAGCTACTTGGAAGGCTGAAGCAGAAGGATCAGTGATGCCCAGCAGGTTGATGCTGGGGTTGCCGTGAGCATGCCACTGCATTCCAGCCTGGGTGATGGAGTGAGACTCCAACTCAAAAACAACAACAACAAAAAACGGTCTCCTATCTCCTCGCTATAACGCAAGTATCATGAGAGCAGGGACCTTTTGCTTTGTTCATGGCTAAATCTCCAGCATTCAGAACAGGTCTTGGCAGAAAGAAGGCAACTGAATAAAAGAATAAACTGGCCCTATAATTTCAAGTTCACATCTCCTGCTATCACCAAGATATCCATGTGCCCTTTAACATTTTAAAGAACAAGCTCTCATCTCACTTCCTTTTTCTCTATATCTGACAATGGCATCAACTCACTCACACTCAAATTCTCAATCAACTGTCACTGACTAGCTCTCTTTCACACCTCAGATATCTCTAAAAAGCATTTGGCATTCTTTCTCTTTTAAAATATTTCTTGCATCTGCCACTGCCTCTCCATTCTTACTCTCACTATCTAGGCCCTCATACAGAGAAGGTTATTACTAAACTTGCCAGAATTTAGCACCAACACTCAAGGAAACTGAAACAGCAATTCTTATAAATTCATCTGGCCATGAGCAATACTTTTGTGTAGACTGTGAAAAATACCTGACCTAGTGATGTAACTAGCTTGCCTAACATACAAGTTGTACTCATGGAATCAGAGTTGACAGACAAGGAAACCAAAGCACAGTCCCGTTGAGCTACTGGTCACCAAAATTCCAGGCCAGTGTCCTGGACATTCTACTGTGAGCATATCATCAAAAATAATCATTAAAACAGCTTCATTTAAACACTCAACAGTACTGCCACCTATACATTTTGAAACCTTTATCACATCTTTAACTACTACAACTTTTTCTGGATGCATTTTTATTCATATACTAATTAAAATATTTATTTAGAATCTGCCTGTTTTTCTTAGCTTACAGATAAAAGTTCTTCTCAGGATCCAGTGTTGTTCCTTATTTAGTAACACCCCAAGCAAATCCGAAATATGAACTAAAAGAAAAACTTCACAATCTTTCTATTCTTTTACCCATTACTTTTTTTCCTAAGGGTGAAGAAATTCTCCTCATCCAATAGACTGTCATATAACAGCTACTTTTCTTCACCAAAACAGCATAAATCCCTGCAACTTTAGTTCACTGAGAATAAAACAGTCACTCTCCTTTTAAAAAAGAAAAAACAAATTGTCCCATTAAGTACTACTATGATAGATAAGCTTGAAATCTGAAGTTTCAAGTAGTCTTCTTCAGTAGAGCCTGCCCAATTCAATTAAACACATAATTATATGCAAAGCACTTACTTTATTAAGAATATCCCTGAGGCTGAGCCTTGCTTCTCTAACAAATGAAAATCGTGTAAGCTTAACAAGGTTTACAGTGGTTTCTATGACTAAGTCAAGAAAACAAAGGTTTAAGTCACAATTTTACCATCAGTTAGCTGTGCTGCCTTACCACATCTACAGACCTCATTTCCTCATTTCTAAAATGAAGAGGTTGAAGCATACGAGGGGGGACCAAAATAAAAACCCGCAATTATCTTTCGGAAGGTGGGCCCCTTGGAGTACACTCAGAATTTATTCCTCCAGATCAAACAGTCAACCAAAGGTTTTAGCTGCAAGTTGTGAGAAGACTGTATCACAATCTGTGGCAGAAAAGGTCCAAATTGTGGCAAACAGGTGACTAGTTCTTCCACCATGACAATGCACACTGCTGAATGACCCTCATGCCCCACCCTCCCTATTCACCCAATCTCACCCCCAGTAACATTTTTTTGTTTCTCTGGATGAAAACAATTCTCAACGGGAAATGTTTTTTACTGAAATGGAAGAGGTGAAACAAAAAACCAAAAAATGGCAGAAGCACTAAAAGGCATCAAAATTACAAGTTTAAAAAATTGTTTTGAGCAGTGGAAAAAGTGTCTCAATAGATGTATTGCATCAGATGGAGAGTACTCTGAAGGTGACTGAAGTTTAAACACGTAAGAGTAAAAACACAATTTATTAACAAATAAATTCCAGGTTTTTTGGGTGTCCCCTCTAATACTATCTAAGGTTCTTATTAACTCTAAAGTTCTCAGACTCCATGATGGCAAGATCAAAAAAACTTCTAACTGATCTGTTTGCATATACCTTCTCCTTCCCAATTATCCTTCACACTACCATTAATTTTCCCAAATCACTACTGTCTTAGTTTCCTACTGCCATTAAAACAAATTACCAGGCCAGGTGCAGTGGTTCATGCCTATAATCCCAGCACTTTGGGAGGCCAAGATGAGAGGACTGCTCGAGCCGACGGGTTGAAGACCAGCCTGGGCAACTTGGTGAGACCTCATCTCTACAATAAACCAAAAAATTAGCCAGGCATGGTGGCACGTGCCTGTAATTCCAGCTACTTGGAAGGCTGAGGCAGAAGGATCACCTGAGCCCAGCAGATTGAGGCTGCAGTGGCCATGAGCGTGCCACTGCACTCCAGATTGGGCGACAGAGTGAGACTCCAATTCAAAAAAAAACACAAAAAACAAATTACCACAAACTCAGTGGCTTAAAACAACAATATTTTATTTATCTTGTAGTTCTAGGGGGGTCAGAAGTCTGAAATGACTTTACTTGGCCAAAAATCAAGAGAAAAACTTTTGCAAGATCCGATATGAGGCTTGTGTAAAGAATATACAAAGAACCCTTACACTCAATAAGGCAAATAACCCAATTTTAAAATGGGCAAGAGATCTGAAGACATTTCTCCAAAGATAAATAAAATGACCAACAGGTATACGAAAAGATGTTCAAAATCATTAGCCATTTGGGAAATGCAAATCAAAATCACAATGAGGTATCATTTCATACCCATTAGGATGGCTATAAATCAGAAAGTCGGATAACTTGTGTTGGTAAGGATATAAAGAAATTGAAGCCTTCATACATTGATGGCAGAAATGTAAAATGGGGTGCAGCCACTGTGGGAACAAGTTTGGCAATTTTTCAAAATATTAAACATAGAGTTATCATGTGCCCAAGCAATTATCTTGGCTACAGACCCAAGAAAAAAGAAAACATACATCTACATCAAAATTCTTTGTTCAAAGCAGCATTATTCATAATAGCAAAAAATCAAAAACAATTCAAATGCCCATCAAATGATGAATGGATAAATAAAATGTGGTAAATCCATACATTAGAATATTATTCATCAATAAAAAGTACTGATAACGAACTCTAACATACATGAACCTTAAAACTAAGCTAAATGAAAGCCAGTCACAAAAGAAAAAGTATTCCATGATTTCATTTATGTGTATGTACATATACATGAAATTTTCAGGATAGGCAAATCAGTAAAGACAAAAAGTAGATAAGTGGATGTGGTGAATGACTGCTAATTACGATGCTTCTTTTGGGGCTGATGAAAATGTTTTGAAGTTAGCAAATGGTGATGACTGCACAACTACATACATACTAAAAACCACCGAATCATATGCTTTAAAAGGGATAATTACCAAATGTAAATTATATCTCAATAAAGCTTTTCAAAAAAAAATCTAAGGTACTCAGTTCACACATAAACCCACTGGTGAACATAATAAATTATTTCCAAGTAGTTTGGGAAGAAAGTAAACGCATAAAATATCTCCTAAGAACAAGTATTTTTCCTTATATGTTATACTTAACATAAAAATCAATTATGCAAAAGAATTATGAACATTCTATGTTGGAAAGGTAACTATTATTAACAAGCATGGTTAAATAAAAACAAAAAAGGAACGGCATTAAAATAAACACCATCAATGGCGCCTCAGTCGTCACAAAACAAAATTTCATACCTTTGTTTTCCCTCACAATTGAGGTTCATCTATCTTTTTAGACTCATCTCCCATTATTCCTTGACACAAATTCAGGTGGGCCAGGGTTCCCATTGCCCACCTTCCCACCACTCATCCAATACCATTTCACCATCTCCTATCCTCCTACCTCCAACTGCCTTTTGTCTTTAACAAATTCTGCAGTCTTTTCACCCAACTAAGTGGTTCTTATTTTTCAAGGCCTGAGACTCAGGTCCTACTACAAAAAATTGTTCTTGACTTTTCCAGAGCATAACAACCCAACATACACTGGTCTCTCTCAACTCTAAGCTGGTTCCTCATCAAACAGGCGCTTTTTACCACTCCAATTCAACTAATTCTATCTTACAACAATAAGGAAGAGCCACCTAGAGTTTACCTTTTCTGGCCTTGACTCAGTCATTTATCCATTTCATCTTATAATTCCCTTACTTTAGGGAGAGGATAGATCAGCTTTCATCCAGTCCTAAAGAAAATAGCACTCTTGCCAATGGCAGAGTGCCACCTAGTTGCAACACAGGGTAACTCAATGATAGCAGCAAGAAATCACTACAGGTAAAACCACAGTACCATTGTGCAGGGCAATTTGATTGTTTCATATGTGCACCCTATCACTCCAACCATATTACCTCACAAGCCTTACTGGCATGATTTTTTTGTCAGCTCAGTACCATGCATATATTTACCATTTCATATTTATTAAATTTCTGAAATGTCTTAAACCAATAAATTCATGTGTATGTAGATGGTTACAATTTTCCTTGATAATCTCTCACATGAGAGTGAGTTTACTGCAACAAGAGAAAAACATAAACAAGTACAAAATAAAAAGAAATCTCAGGATTTACTCACATATAATGGAGCTTGCTGTGGATTAAGTTTCATGACCCAGGACACTGAAACAGAAATGAGAATAAAATTAAAAGTTGTCAACAAAAATATAAAAAACACCTGAGGTCCTGGATGTCAAGAACATCTGTATGAGTATAATCACATGCCTGAGATTATTGTATACACAGCTGTGTACTCTATACTAAGTGATCTGGGAAGGAAGAGAGGTCAAAGATTGCAGAATTCCTTATGTCCCAGACTCGATCTTTTCAAGTGGGGAGATTTTCCGGTTGAAAAATAAAGATAAAAGATTTCATAGTCACAGAAGTTTTGACAACCAATAGGATATTTAAAGCAACTGCCAAAGCAAAACACTGTGTGTTCAGTTATGCACTGTATGTTCAGTCCCCAGGGACTCCCTGGGTCTCACTAGAGAGCTTGTGGGGAAGGAGGCAGCAAAGAACCACTAGAGCTCTCTTCCTCTCAGCAAAGGTAGGTCGCAGTCGGCCTCTAACAACTTAGGTCATGGTCTTCCTCAAAACTAACAGTTGAATTCCCTATTATTTTCACTAAATTAGTTCTCACAAAAATGTTATTAAGAACCTCAGAGAAGGCTTTCAGGGTTGTCAAATATATTCCTGAATATTAAGAATAACATGGTCTTAAAAGTTTAACTTGGTGATTTGACCAGGACTTGATCAAGGCTAAAAATGCATAATCCAGAATCATGGGACTTCAGAGAAGCAGGTCTTTGGCCAAGCATCCCAAATTTGAGTATAAGGTGATCTCATCCTCATAAGAGTCAGAGAAACAGAGCCAAATGACTTCATTATAATTTGATCTGAGAAAGTTTCTTACTCAAAGTAGGCAAAGAAGGCACATTTTAACCAGTAATATAAATAATAGTATAAAAATATTTCTCATACATCCAAAAAATAGATAAATCCCATGTTCTAATCAGATCACAGAAAACTCACTAACAATAAACTGAAATACAAATAGTATAAACTGGAGGTTATCAATGGCCAATTGTTTGGACTAAAAAGTAATGCCTTGGTAACCATGCATAGCTTAAATAAAATAACCCTCTCGATGTTAAAATTCTCATAAATCTACCACATATCAAGCTGTGTATGTCTCAGATCAAGACTCAGCCAAAAAGTAATTAACACAACTTAGAGAATTCTATACCAGCCTCCTAAATCCAGTCATCTCCAATCAGTCACAGGCCCCAGGCTTCAATGTGTTTTGCTGGACAAGGCAATAGGAAGCCAACAGGCAGGTGGCTTTTCCACACTGACTGAACCACCTCCATGCTCATCTCCATTCATTCTCTGGTCCACCCCATACACTATAACAGATCTCCTGGCTCAGAGCACTCCTTCCTTCCTGCCTACCTTCATTTAATGACTTTTTACTCTTAAGTGCAGAAGCTCACACCAAAAACCACGCTTGAGAAATGAAGCAATAACCACTTTTCTAGTAGAAAAATAGAGTCAACTTCATGTCCATCAGATTCAATTAGCAAGCATGGATGAAAGATGTGAGCCCTTTCTTAATGTATTAAATGACCATTTAATTTACAATTAAGCTCACTGTGCTCACTAGCCTTCTAATCAGCTTTCCAGGTCCTGTTCAGACTTGCCCGAGGCACAGGATTAAAAGATTCTACAAATTTATGAACCAATCTGCCTTAACTAACTTCTGAAGTATTCCTGCATCACAAGCAAACAACAACAAACAAAAGAAAATCAGTGAAACTGATACAGGAATTAATATCTTGGTATTAACTGACATAGGAATTAACATCTTGGATTAGAGAAATCTATGGAGATAAGCTAAGGACTTACGAGTCCTCTGCTGTCTCCTAGCTTGTCAAAAAATTTAGGATGAATATGTCTAAGAACCATAGATACCAATTTACCTAAGTGACCCCCACTGCATTTGAACAAGAAAGTTGATGAAACTCAAAAGGCTCTAAGGAAGGGCTGATGCCATCCGAACTGTTTGGAATTATGAACTTGTCTAAACATATTCAAAGCCAGGACCCATATAAGTTGTTCTGATACAAGGATTAAAAGAGGGATGACAAAGTATCTGTCCTCCCATACTACTCAAATGAACAGGTCATTGTTATACTGGCAACATAGGCTGCTGAAAAGAATGTATCTGTCAAAAGTAATCAAATTAATGACTCCAGAAGGCTCCAGAAACAGATTGGTAAATTCAGGTTGCTTTTAGACTTCTTCAGCGCTGACTTACAAGGGAAAAGAAAAAACTAACATTTACAGAGTTTAATATGTATTTGCATTATATTTAATCCCCATAAAAATGATACTAATTCCCTCATTTTACTAGTAAGAACTGAGTCTTTCAAAGATTAAACTATTTAACACCAAGGTCTAAAAGTAAGTGGCAGAGCCCAGATTCAAACCCAATCAGACATCAAAACACGTGTTTCTCCCAGTATCATAAGAGGATCTGTTGCTAATGACCTCAAATCTAAGAGGTGACTTATCCCACCTCTCGCCTTCATTCTACAAATTCTCTCTGACTTTGTTAATTCAACTATTATTGTGCGCCAGCAACGTGCCAGGCACCATACTCCTCAAGGCTCTCAAGGTACAGAAGGAAGAGATGAAAGTCCCTACCCTCGTAGATCTTACTCTAGGAGATACACAGATAAATAAAACATCACAATAAATGGTTTTCAGACAGTAATAAATTTTACAGAGAAAAATAAGACAGAGAAGAGGGACTAGCAAATGAGGTAAATATCTTTTAAACAGCATGCTGAGGGAAGGCCTCTCTGAGGTGACATTTGCCCAAGCAAAAAAGCAAGTAATACAGATAACAGGTAAAAGCTCTCCTAGACACTTAAACCTGCCACACTATTGAGAACTCATTCTTTGCAAAGCCTTGCTGCATATAATGCATTAATTTCCTTTTAAACAAACTTTACTTGAGAACTGTGTTCTAAAGGAAGGAGCATATTCCAGGAAGGCAGTCATTGGTCAGAGTAAACACACTTAAAAATCAAGCCTATATGCCAAGACCAAATGAAAGTCTTTGTTTTGTAAATAGATTGTTTATCAAGCTTTCTCAAAAGAAAAATTAAAGGAACACACCATGCCCATTCAACGATTTCACCAAGGAATTTTGAGAGAAAAAAATTCCTATATCTTGTTCCTTACCTAGTAACCCAAGAGAGACTTGGAACAAATTCCCAAGTTCACTGGGCTGCTTTCATGTAACACAAGGACAATACATGATAGACACAGTGGGACTGTAAAGACTGCCTCGTATTTGAAAGACTATGAAGACGAAATATAAAAATTCAAAAGTGTAAATGAAATAGTTTTAAGTATCTTCAAATTCACCACTCAGTAGTAAAACCAGCTAGAGTTGTGAGGAGTCATAAACTCGAAAAGTGTGAAATAATAAGCAAAAGCACAGTAATTAAATATTTTGTATTCTTCCCACATTTTCCACTTTATTTTATAATGCTGGAGGGAAAAAATGTAAGAGTTTACTGTTGTATAAAAGTGACACATTCACTTTATGTCAAAACAAGATTCAATTTTAATGCAACTATCTCAATTGCACAAATTAACATTCTCCCTCAAGGCCCACACATAAGAAGCCTCTTATGGAGCTGATTAGAGAAAAAAAGACTGTAGCTACAATCTCTTCCTCACTTTAATATATACTATCATCAGTCTTTCTTTATAGAGTGCAATGTGGACACTATCATCAGAATGTACCAGCAGCATGTGTGCAACGAGTTTGAAGATTAGCAACAGCAAGAGTTTTGGAATTTCTGAAATTCAGGCTGCCTGCAAAGGACGACAAAGAAATTAAATCACAACCACACAAAAACTCACGCGTGAGTTATATGGTTTTATAGTTGGTTTGGGAAAAGGAGAGGACAGAGAGCACCAACCAATATGCCTGAGCAAATGAATATAAAACCTTAGACGCCTCAAAACAGATTACAACTAAATTAAAAGTCGTGGCCACAGCAGTAGTACAAAACAGATTACAACTAAATTAAAAGCCGTGGCCACAGCAGTAGTCAGAAAACAGTTTTTGTAAAGGGCCAGATGGTAAATATTTTAGGCTCTGCAAGTCATAAAGTATTTGTTAAACAATATATAAACAAATGAGTGTTCCAATAAACTTTATTTAAAAAGAGGTAGTGTGCTAGATTTAGCCAGCAGGCCATGTGCCAACACCTGGTCAAACACTAACAAAATACCACTTACAAACCAAAGAAGCAGTATGTCCCCATTCAACGCCTTTATACAAGGGGGTCCCCCCAAAAACAGAATTATCTTTTGGAGGGTAGGCCTCTTGTAGTACAGGTTTCCCCGACTAGGTCAGTGTTCTAAGAACCCACTGGCATCAATATACCAGCTAGTGTTGTGAAAGGCTATCCTCAGCTTCAGTGAATTTTTTTTGGAGATTCTTTCAATATGCTTGCCCATTTCATGTTGGGTGATTTATGAGCGCACCTGCCCACACTGCAGCTGAGTGTTCAGCAGTTTTTGAGCAAAAACAGCATGACCCCCATGCCCCACCCTCCCTATTCAACCAATCTCTTCTGGAGCGACTTTTTTTGTTTGTTTCCCAATGAAAAAAGTCCTCAGAGGGAAACATCTTGCTGATGTGGAAGAGGTAAAACAAAAATGGCAACATTATTAAAAGGCATCAAAATTGACGAGTTCAAAAACTTTTGAGCAATGGAAAGAGCATCTCAATGGGTGTATTGCATCAAAGAGTATTTTAAAGGCAACTGAAATTTAAACATGTAAGAATAAACAACTTTTTATAAATAAATTCCGGGGGTGGGGGTTGGATACCCCTTTGTATGTTTCACAAATGTTTTCAGCTAAAAAAAAAAAAATCTTAGTACATAAAAGTAATAGGGACTGTACAATATTCTCTAGACAGGAAATCAAATTAAATCCCTCTACAGATTAACTATATTACTTTTAGTTAGTCAGTTAATTTACCTGAATCTCAGACTCCTTATCTGTAGAAAGAGCCTAATAGTGCT